ATAAGTCGATTTAGGTTTTTGGGGTTGCATTACGCAGAGGGACAGGATAAAAATAAATTGTTGTTGTTGCTGCCGTTTTTAATTTTTTACCTAAATTTCTAGACTTACAAATGAATATATACAGTAAGTCCATTATGTTTTAAGTACTAAACCTGTACCGATTTTGTCCCATACTTAAAAGAGAAGAAATAGCAGTATCTGCTGGACTTATTCCCCTTCTCCACTGCCATTCCCTTCTCCTTTTGTGTCAAGACTTTTTAGATTGTAAGCCTGAGGGCAAGGAACTGTCAAATTAACAATCTGTAAGCCTCTCTGAGAGCCTTGTGGCTGAAGAGCAGGATATAAATATAAATACATTAATAAATAAAGCTAGCTACTAAAAGTTTAAAAAGTTAATGTTCTATGATGGAAGAATTATTGGAATAAGATTTTTTTAAATTAAGGAGTGTAAACCTCCCCTTCTGTTACTATTGCTGGACAGTGAGATTTGATAGATAGATAGACAGACAGACAGACAGACAGATAGCATTAATTAAAACAAACCACACTTATATAACATTCAGTTTACTACATAGACCAGACAAAATAGAGAACACAGATCATTACATTACATTACATGATTATTGATAATCTATTCACTCATACCTTATTTGTCACTTCCTTGTTACCAGCTTTTAACAATTTTTCCTTATCCATTCTTGTTCAGTAAAGGCTATTTTTAAGTGAAAATTACCATGTTTACGTTCCTAACTTATCTTAAACATAGTTTTCTCAAGTATCTACATAAACATAATTTTCTCTGTCTAATTGAATCTGCATTCAAATTCTGTTTATATCTTATTCTATTAATATTTTGGTCCAAATTCACTCCCACAGTATTTTTCCCCATTTTTGGGAAAAACACTCAAGAAAAATTTTCCAATCATTTTTTTTAGACTGTTCATTTTTTATACCTTTTGTTAATTTGTCCGTTTCCAGTATATTCATTAACTTTAGTAACCATTCAACAAGATGTTCTAAAGCACTGGTTCACAAAGGTTGTTCATCCTGGTGTTTTGAAATTCCAACTCTCAGAAGCCCCAACCAGCATGGTCAGCAGTAAGGAATTCTGGGAGTTGAAGTCCAAAATATCTGGAGGACCAGTTTAGGAACTACTGTTCTAAAGTTTGGTAATGGTAGTGAGATCATATTTTCACCCTGTGATGGTAGTGCTGGGATCCATCCATCTTCTTCACATGAGTGATGTAAAATGGTGGGATAATAGTGGCATTGTTGGATGCCATCATAATTTGTGTTTATTCTGCTTGGTGTTAGAAGGCTTAATGTAGACCTTGTTAATCTTAATAAAAGATGGCTTGCAAATAATAGAATCCGATGTTTTCATAGAAACTCTTAGAACATACACTTTTTCAACACTGAAATTAGAACCCTCTTTTAATTGCCTCTGATAAAGCATTGAAATGCCATGACTGTAAAGGCTTGTGCCATATGGTTGGGTTATAACTTTCCTCAGTAATAAATCTCAGGTAAGAAGACTAGATGTCTTAAAAGCTGGAACTCTGTCTTGAATCACAGTGGAAAGTTAGTGGTTGAGTGCATTAAGGAACACAAGAATTAATCTGCTCCAGTTTAATTAATTACGTAAATTGTTGTTTGCCTTCAAGTCATGTTTAAGGTGAACCTATCACAATGTTTACTTGGCAAGATTTGCTCAGAAGGAGTTTGCCTTTGCTTGCTTCTGAAGCTGTGAAAGTGTGATTTGGCCAAGGTTACCAAGTGGGTTTCTGTGGCTGAGCAGGGATTCGAACCCTGGCCTCCAGAGTCCTAGTCCAACCCTCAAACCACTACATCATGCTTGGCTGTTTGTCACATAAACAGTGCTCCTCTTTCCTAACACACTGAATGTGAATCTTCCATGGACACACATGAACCCTATTCATTGTTTTTGGTGGCATGATTTGTATAATATATTATGAAAGGGTAGTTGCTTTTAGGATGTGGGCCAGTAAAATGCACACAGTGATTAAGAAATAGAACTTCCTTCTTAATCTTAGATAGAACTGGTTGGACTTCTTAAAACAAGATGTCTCTCTTTTAATTCTAATGTTTTAGTATTAAATAGCCGTAAGTAATGAAAGCAAAAAGCATATTTTCCCCTTGACAACAGAAAGTAGGCTTGTTCATTTTAAAAGTGGTAATTACTCTTGAACCTGAGGCAATCTGGGTTATATAATAGTCCTTACACAGCAGAACATGAATCAACACGAGATATCTTAATGTAGACCTTTTTTTTTTTGTTTGCATTTAGGATGACAAAGAAAGATTGTATACCTTTGCATATGAAGAGTCAACATGACCTTTGAAACAAGGGAGGAAATGGAAAGTAATTTTTTTGGTGCATCTTTTATATTATGTTTAAACCTTGCATATCTCAGATCTTTGAGGCAATTTTCCATTGTTATTGATGTGCAAGATTTAATGAACAAATCCTGTATTTTAAAAAGAGCAAAAGTTGGCACCCAGAAATGAAACCTCTTGTTAGCAATAGAACAGCAGGCAGGAGGACTGGCATCTTGCCACAAGTGAATCTTTTGACTTTTTAGTTCCAGGCATTCAGGAAAAAAAAATTGCCAAAATGTTGCACAACAACAACAAATCCCCTAAGTTTGTTTTCTTAAAATTTGCCTCCTGCGTTTGGAACCTTGGGGTTTATGTGTTCTGTGCACGATTAACCTCTCATAAACATAAACTGAAGTTCGTGTTTTTCTTATTCTGAGAAATGAGGTCTTGAAGCTGGGAGAAAAATCCCTGCCAAATATTTCAAAGCCATGATCAAATCATGGAGACTGACAGAACTGTTCAGTCTTGCTGAGTAGCAAAGCAAAGTAGAGCCTGCAAAGACAGTGTTCCTCAGTGCTTTGTGGTTACCAGCTGAAACTACACATGGAAAATAATTTTATTGGATTCAACACTTTCAGTCAGGGTTTTGTACTCCCTGAAGTTTATCATGAGAAGAAATATGCTTTGCCTTAAACATTTGCACATTTCTAGTGTGTACAGTACACACATTCAAAAATGTGAATGGGTAAATAAAACATAAGTGAAAAACATGCTTAAACGTGCTTTTAATTGGTGGGGAAATTTTGAACAAATTAAGTAAATGGTGCATATTAGAGAGAATTCATTAAAATTGTGCATGCTTTCAGTGTAGGAAGAAAACAAAGTCTTCTTAAGCTGACAAGACAGGAAGAAAATGCAGGAGAACTCGGTGAAATGGTAACGAGATTTTTCTCTTCACATATACATTCATGGAGACACATAGTTGAAGTACATCAGTAAAGCACCACTTGAGATTATGGACCATTTCATACACTGGTACCAATTTTTACATTCCAAATCCATTCAGTCCTATTCGTAGGTCCACAAATTTGTTTTGGTTCTGATAGTCATCCTAAAATTCCTGATCCAGAGGATTCTGTCCTTCTCCTAGCCATCACGGTAGTCTTAAACCTCACTGGGAATTGGTTCTAATCCAGTTTGTCGGATACTACAACCCAGCTTACAACCTTAGTCCCTGATCTCTACCGCTGCCAGTGGTTGGAAGCAATCTCCTGTTCCAGTTTGCAACTTCTGAATTTTAGGATTGAAACAGTCAGCAGTGGACTTGATTTAGCACTACCTGTCCCAAGATTCTTGGTTTTACTTTTTAGGATAGCTGCCATCAAAATGAGTATCCAGGCCTTCCTGTCTAGGCTGAAGTAAGATATATGGAGATAACTGTTACCATGGTGAAGAAACATTTGCAGTGGCAAGTGTAAATGCAGATTGCATTGTTTTTCAGCTGCAAGTTGGATTTAAGTACAGTATGTTTGGTAACCATTTTGTGGTGTCAGCACACTACTGTGTAAGCACATTCGCTCCATCAAACAAACTAGAATGACAATGTGAAACCTCTGTCTCTATAACCACCTGTACTTTGTTTATTTTTAGAATTTGCGTCTTTCATATGTACAGGTCTTGGGGTGAGGAATTGATCAGCTTGGGAAATATATGAATGTCTTTCTTGGATGCCTTAAATGTTTTGTTCTCTCTGTTCCTTTTGGCTCTTGTGCTTGCTGTGGCAGTGAATGACATTTATTTCATCATCTCAGTTTGGTGTTGTCACAGTTTGGCCTTAGCAAGGGAGGCATATGTTTCCATTTTCTGTACTATAGATGGGGAATTTGCAACAAAAAATATTGCAGAGTTCAAGGTTTTATCCACTCCATTCCATTTCATCTCTCCCCCTCACACATTTTTCTACTTTTCCATCCCATTGTTTAATATCAAGTAATGTACCTAGGCAGTTTCTGTTCTATCCCTATGGGCATATCAAATAGCTTCTCCATGTGAACAATAAGAACAAGTGTCACATAGTGGTTATAGCACTGGAGTCCCAAGTTGTGTGACCTTTGGTCAGTCACACTCCCATCCCAGTCCACTCCATAGGTTTCTTGTAGGGATGGGGGGGAGGGTTTCTATGTATGCTGCTATGAGCTCATTGGATGAAGGGTTTGATATATGTCACCAGTGAATGAACAAGCCAGGAACTGACCTATTCAGATGTGTGTGGTTTTGCCTATCATTTTAAATATATATATTTTACACCTTCCTTCCTTTCCAGTCACTCCATTCTGTAATTCCTCAATCCATGTTGTCAGTTTTTCCTCTCCTACTTATTCAGTATTCTGTACCACAGTTATTTTTGCTCTGTGCTGGTTTTTCTATCCCTTTAGGGTTTCCCTAAATTTGTCATATGATTTTTAAAAAAATGTTTCTCTAATGAACACATTGTAAGGAGGTATGTCATTTACATATAATTTACTGATAATCGATCTGTATAACTGTGTATGTAGGTACCTTTTTCTTAGGCTGTCTGTGTTGGACCAACCAAGCATTTACATCTGAATTGCCCAAAGCACCTATGAAGTCTCTCTTTTTTTCCCTATGGAAAACATGGCTAAGTACTTCATAAATAATTGACAATAGGATGACAACTTGTCTTGGAAGAAAGTTAGATACTGAGGCTTCATCATTGGAAAAGTTTTCCCCACTTGGAATTTAAAGGGTTGTTTTTTTCTCAGATCAAAAAGGAAGAACAACTCCACTTCTATACTAAATCATGTGCTGAAAAACTACTGTATTGTCTTAGAACCATAAATGAGGCAAAGTTGTTTTTTCCATCAGTCATGTTTATTGGAGCTTATAACAAAGCAATGGAAAGAACCTAAAGATCATAAAAGAAGAAATTCCTCTGATATACACTAGAAAGGTCTGCTCTTCCTCATTGTTCTTCCTAAAGTCTCTGACTCAGAGCAGCAGATACTTAGCATTCTCAGCCCTCAGTAAAGTCTTGGGATTTTACCACTGTAGGCTAAAAAGCAGAATTTCAACAGGATAAAACTGTCTTTGGCCAGTACTTATCACACAATGTCATGTCCGTCCTACTGCTGCCTTGCATTCCATTTGTTACTGTAGTATACCTTTTTATTGATGGGAAAACCCCATCAATAGGCTCTCAGTCTTGCTGCTGTTCCATTACTGCCTTTGTGTGGTAGGTCCTGTGCATGGCAGTTCCACTTCTCGGACAGTAACGTGGTGTGACTGGCTGTGATTCTGCTCCCCTCCCATTCCCCCTCATATTGTGCCACTAACAGCTTCCCAAAGCGGCTGCTATGTGCACATTCACACACAGCTTTAGGAAGCAGTTGGCAGCTGGGCTTCTTTGTCCCCACCCCACTTCCTCCCAATGCATCAGGTTGCCAGTCTCTCATGTGCAGATGTTTGACTGTGAATTGTTGTTGTGTACCTTCAAGTTATTTCTGACTTATGGCAACCCTAAGGTGAACATAACATGGGTTGTTTTGTTTTTTGCAAGATTTGTTCAGAGAAGGTTTGCATTGCCTTCCCCTGAGGCTGAGAGCATGTGACTTGCCCAAAGTCTTCCAGTGGGTTTCAAGGCTGAGTTGGCAATCAAACCCTGGTCTCCAGAGTCATAGTCTAACACTCAAAGCAGTATGCCAGGCTGTACAAAAATAAAATACTAATGTAGACCATAGATTGATGGGATATCAAGTGGTATTAGGAGGCTCCAGTAGCTCTATAAAGATTCAGCTTGCCAAATGAGGCTATTCCATGCAATAAGGTCATTGCAGCTCTGATCCAGTTGAATTTTATGTCTGGATATCATGCTTTGAGAAACACACTCTTTTCTATTACCACCATGTCTTTATTTGCTTGCTGCTCTGCAGTACTTTTCTAAAACCTTACAACTCCAGTCTGGTAACTGCATTAAATTTCAGTTATCCTTGCATTTGAATTCCAAGAGGGTGATGGAAGTAGGATGTGCTGGTAAATGTGCCAAATCTGAGTCTTCATGAGTTTCTGACAGCCATTTAAAGTTCCTCTATTCTGAGTTTAAATTCATTAGTTGCCTCAGATATCAGGGAGGCTCCATGCATCAACAGAGGTAAAATAATGAATGATCTAATAGGCATTTAATACATTTCAAAATTGTTACACTTTCTCAGAAATTGCTTATATGCATTTCCTAATGCATCCCATCATTCAGCAAGCACACGCACTCTACCTTTTGACTAATTAGCTTTTGCACAGTAGGTAAGTTCAGACCTTTAGTGCCCATTTCATAATCAGTTGGACAACTGTAGGACCCAGCATATGTACATTAGTATAAATTAGTATAAATCTATACCAAGCTAAAAGCTTATTGAAATTGGCCTTGCACACTTCTCTGCCAGTGAGAATTTTTTTAGCTGGAATAAAGAATGTGCTTAACTGTTTCTTTGTCCCAGGTTGTCCTCT